CAGGCTGCTGGCTGGACTCCCCCAGCATATTCCACCTGACATCCTGTAACAGAGATTAATGCTTGTTAATAGATTGATCATAGGCATTTAATTGGTGAACGTTCCCTGAAACGATTTAAATGGGCTTTACTGCACAAAGAGTTATTACGCTTCATTTATCAAATGCAGGATAAAGAAAGACCTGAGACTGCGATGAATGATGGACTTGTTCTTCAAGAAAAAGTTCTTAAGCCGTATTTCTCATAGATGTGTTACCCATAGAGGCAATGTCCTGGTTGTAGAGGTGTTAGAGGAAACAAAGCACAGTTGGGGACATATTTGGTGTGGACTGAAAAAGGCACCTTCTCCTCACTGCTAAAATCACCATCAATATGCCGCGTTCACTCGCTGGCATGTGACCAAAGATGGGGTTCTGCATGGCCCTGAGACGTCACTATTTCATACTGTGATGTGATTGTTTGATAAAACTTTTGGACACCTTTCTGGAGATCCATGGTGTGCTGGTGACATATCTCTTATTCTGTGTTGTCTCTGGTGTCCATCCGGTGGTCCCTGCAGCACCTACTTACTTTATGGCTGTTTCCAGGAATGTGTGTGTTGGTTATATTTCTTTGCACTTGCAACAAATGGTTTATATACTCTTAAATGTGGTGCATTCTGTGAGGCACTCTGCACGTTACATGAGGCAACCACAAGGCAACCATGGTTGACACATGAGGTGCTCATTCTTGTGCATGTTATACGAGGCAATCATGTGTTATGTGAGGAACATGCACAACATGGTACTAGAACAGTACAGCAAGACATGGGCCCTAAACAAAATTTTGATAAAGTCCCCCCTATTTCAGCAACACTCCTGTGCTGAACACCTTGGATTGGTGGCCCAAATCCTGAACCATAGACTTGTATCCTAGGATAGGATGCTAGGCAAATGTAGTTGTTGCTGAGGTTGATTGCCTGGGTGTCAGGGATCCGGGTATGACCAGAAATGTGTGGACTGACACAGGGAAGTAAAAGGCTTCAGGAATGATATAATAACAATACAATTTATTATTAGCCACCCAAATATACAACGCACAGTAAACAAACCAACCTTCCACTAAGCTTAGTATGTTCAGGAACACAGGCGTAGTCAGGGCTGGAGAGGTGGAATGGTCAGGCCGGCCATAAGGTTCTGTTAACGACCGTCTGGTGGTACCTCTAGCAGTCCTCAATACAGGATTCCACAGGGCGCGGAGTCTAAGTCCCAGTCTGCTTATTCACCAGGGCCCTTGATGGTGGGGATGGACTTGGAACAGACAGGAACCAGGTTGTGGCCCCTGAGTACACCTGCTCGTGGTAGAGGGATCCGCCAGAGGTATATACTGATGTGAAGAGGCAGAAGGTGTGAGCAGGGATGGCTGGATCCGTGCAGAATGGATGGATGGATCGTCTGGGTAGCGTAAGGCGTAGTCAGGCAGGCCAGGTCAGCAACGTGCGGGCAGCGAGGTACCGAAGGAGGAGGCAGAGAATGGTCAGAGTCACAAGCCGGGTTCAGTAACTCACGGGAAGCGCGGTACAGAGGATCAGGCAGAGAATGGTCAGGGTCACAAGCCGGGTTCAGTAACTCACGGGCAGCACGGTACAGAGGGTCAGGCAGAAGGATGGTCAGGCAAGCCAGGGGTTAAACAGGAGATGGTCAGCAACAATGCAGAGGTCGGCAACAGAAGATAGGCAGAGGAACAGGAACACAGGATACCAGGTACAGGGGCTCATGGGAAACAACACCAAGGCACTGACTGCAGGCCTGGCCATTCCTTAAATACATGCAATCAGCCTCAGGTGATGGTTTGATTGCAGGAGTGAGCTTCTGGCTGCTGAAAGCACACGCTGGCCAGCCCTGGTACTGCAGCCCACATGGCAGGTGAGTCCTACCACCAGTGGTGAATCCATTCCTGACACTGGGTCTGTTCATAGCCAGTGGTGTATTTAGCTCTTGTGCTGCCCTAGGCATCACTAAAATTGGGCATCCACCACCAGCACCTCCACTTTCCACCAACCCTACAACCCCGCTCCCCCAGGCCTCGCCATCACTCTCTGCCAAACACGTTCCGCCTGCAGAGAGATAAACAGTTAGTCAAACACTAACCTTAACCTCTCGTGAAAGCAGCCGGCCATGATCAGAGCCAAGCCCAGTGTCTTCCTTCCTTGTGCGGGAAGCTTACACCCTACAGCAGCACACAGCGTCCCTGGATTCCATGGTCCCCATCCTCAGCAGGTCCCCATCCCTGCCACATGTGTTACTTCTTCCGGGGGTGGCACCACCCCAATGAAATTTGCCACTCTAGGCAAGTGCCTAGTTTGCCTTTAGGTAAATACGCCGCTATTCATAGCTCCACAGGCTGGGGATTTGATTGTTTCGCCCTACCTCTGTGAAGAACCTTCCAGAGCTTAGGGTGGGAAATTTTAATAGCACAAATGAAGGGAAAGGGGGCCAAGGAATCATATAGAGTAGTAGATCAATTTTATTAAATGCACATGTAAAAACAATCAAACATGCACTCACAAACATAGGAGAGTTCTGGGCGTGTCACATTGCGACAAAGTCTGAGCCATGGATGGATGGATCAGCAGGGATATCATGGCTGCTATTCAGGGAAAAGGCTCCAGTGCTACAGAGAACCATTGAAGCCACCAGGAAACCATGAACTACTAAAGCTGCTATGGAAAACGGGATCTCAAAAGGGATATTGGGATACACATTTCTGGAGACAGAACACCCGCTTCATCAGTCACAGAGACTTTAAGGAAAAGTTCTTCTTCTTTGGAACATGTTACATGTTCCACCCAGGGGCGGACTGACCATTTGGAAACTCGGGCACTGCCCGACGGCCCGGGGTCAGTAGGAGGCCCCATGAGAAGCACCTGGTACCTTTTTCATAGGCTTTTTTGAGTTTGGGCAAGGACACAGGGGCCCCATGATCCCCTATTCCCTGGGGCCCCATGAGTTGTCAGACCGCCCCTGGTTCCACCCATTTTTAGGGTGGAACATTTAACATGTTCTGACAGGAGGGAAGTTTCCTCATACTATCTGTCAAATTTGAAAACAGCGCGGCTGTGCGGGGCTCTGCGCACACAATCCTTCATCCATTCACGAACGTCCGTGAATGAACTGATGGTCCTGACAGCCTTAGCGCCTGTTGGCTTGTAGTTTTCAATGAACTACCACGGCGCTGTGGAGTTCTGTGGTAGTTCATTGAAGCTTCCCGTCAGAATATCTACTTGACTGTACATCCCATAGCAGATATTCTGACAGGTCTGCAGGAGACCATCAGTGATCTACTGCAATGCTGTCCAGGCTCCTGTAGACAAAAATAATAAATGCACATTTTTTTACCTGCAAAAAAAAATGTGCATTTATTATTTTTGTCTAAAAGGTGAACTTATCCTTTAAATCTACCGTGGCCCCTCTGGGGGTAGTGCTACAGACTTAACAACAGCCTCCGTTACCTTTGATGATCAGCTGGTCTACACCTATATGATAGGGAAACAATAGTGGTTTATGGTTTATTTAATCTTTTGATGTTTTCAAAAAAGTATCTTCTTTTCATCTGGAATATTGTAGTTGTAGCTTTGGACTGAGCTCTCCAGTAAATGTAACTTGTCTAATTACTAATTCTGCTGGAGTTATTATAAATTGCAGACTTTTTTACAGCGCTGTGTATGGGAGACTGTGCAACATGTGCAAAGAAACCTAGAGCTGAATACATAGACTACATAATATAGATATGCAATACGGTATACCATCTTGAATTTACCTGGCTATGCAAGGATAATATTTAGGACTATTGTGGATGGTCAATCTGGAGCAGGTTGGAGAGGTTTAATTTGTAGAGAGCAGGTACTTCCCCTTCATGCCTGTTTATTAGGCAGCTGATCAGACAGGCTGGTTGATGGCAGTTTTGCTTTCTGCAGTAAGAAGACCTATATGCAGTCTGGAAGTCTCCATATTCTGACTTTAACCTGCTGAGTGAGCTTGCTTCTAACAGGGACTTTGAAGTGCTGTGGCTGGAACGCTGAGAGTTATTCATGTAAGACTGTGTTTGTACTGATGGGAACATTTACCTGTCTTGTTGAGCTAAATCTGAAGACAAAGCCTGTCGCTTTTCTGTTTCCTGATAAATAAAGCTGATTTTAAGTTTATTGAAATGTCTGCTAAGAACCTGTTTACCCCTCTGATCCTGACAATTAGTAGAGGATGAGGGCCAGTCCCATGTCCTGGGTTAAAGCTGCACAGCCTATAAAGCAGTGGTACTCAACCTTCCTAATGCCGTGACCCTTTAATACAGTTCCTCATGTTGTGGTGACCCCCAACCATAAAATTATTTACCCAGTAATTATAATTCATGAAGTGTCGTTTTACCTCCAATACTGCTGCTTTCAACACAGCAGCTGCTTTTAACAGAGTAGCTGCTTTCAACACAGCAGATGCTTTCTACACAGTAGCTGCTTTTTACACATCCGAAATATGTGTTTTCCGATGGTCTTAGGCGACCCCTGTGAAAGGGTTGTTCGACCCCCAAAGGGGTTGCGACCCACAGGTTGAGAACCACTGCTATAAAGGCATAAAAAACAATGGAGGAACTGATTAAGCAATTAACCACTTGCCTATCAGGCACTTATACCCCCTTCCTGCCCAGGCCAATTTTCAGCTTTTAGCGCTCTAGCACTTTGAGTGACAATTGCGCAGTCATGCCACTGTACCCATATGAAGTTTTTTATAATTTTTTTCACATAAATAGAGCTTTCTTTTGGTCATATGTACTCACCGCTGGGCATTATATTTTTTGCGCTATAAACAAAAAAAGAGCAAAAATGTTGAAAGAAAAATTGTCTTATGTTTCTATTATAACATTTTGCAATTAGGTAATTTTTCTCCTTCATTGTGTGTGTTGATGAGGCTGCACTGATAGGCGGGCAATGAATGATGAGGTGGTACTGATAGGCGGCACTGATGAGCTGGCACTAATATGCAACAATAATGGGCACTGATAGGCAGCACTGATGAGCTGACACTGATATGCAACAATGATGGGCACTGACTGGTGGCACTGACTTGCGGCACTGATGGGTGGCTCTGCTGGACACTGATGCGTGGCACTGCTGGGTACAGGTGGGTGGCACTGCTGGGCACAGATTGGCAGCACTGGTGGGTGGAACTGCTGGACACTGATCATCAGGGCACTGATGATCAGTGCTGTTCCCTCCTCTGACAATTGCCAGTTATTGGTAGTGCCTTCCTCACGCTGTGACAGCGTGAGGAAAGTGCAGTCGATAACCAGCAACTGCATTTGCCGGTGATCTGCTGCGTCATTGGACACGGCTGGTTACGTGGTAAAAGGCCGATGTGATCGGCCTTTTACTACATCATGTGATCAGCTGTGTCCGTAGGATCATAGGGGTGCGCAGGAGGGCACGTTCTGGGAGGACGTCATATGACACCCTCCCAGAACTGGCCGGCCACAGTGAAGCTGTCATTTGGCTATCTGCGGTCGGCAACTGGTTAATATTGGCAAGTATACAGGCACAGGACAGCCATGAGCAGATACATGCCCACCATGAGGAGGTCCTGGTGCTGTCACAGGTCCACCACGAGTGGGTCCTGGCCCAGACAGTCGCTGTTCAACAAAAGACAAACCACTTAATAGTTGAACAGATAGTGGATTTATAGATGGCAGTGTCCCAGCAGGCTGAAATGGTGAGAGGTGGCCCTATTGTGAAGGACAACCTGCAGAAGGCTGTGCAGCGGGCCCTACGAGACATGATTACTACAGATAATGTTGGAGATTGTTAGGAACTGTTTAAGCAGATTGCGACAAGAGAAGAACTGCTTGAGAAGAAATGGGCGGATGTGCTGGCCCCTTTCCTGACTGCAGATCCCTAACAGGTGTACTGTGATTTGACCTCAAAGGGGCCCACATTACAGCAGTTTACAGGCATTCATTTCAAAAGGAGGCTGAACACTGTACCTTTGTCTCACATATACCAATTATTTATGCTCCATGCCTGCCCTCTTGCAACTGTATGCATTTAAGTACAGTATATTTCCACTCTTGCAGCCAAATTGGGCTAATGCCTACTTTATATTTGTTACATGCCCCTATTCATATAGCATAACAAAGAAAATAAAAATTGCAGCTTACCTTTTTTAGATGCTCCATTCTGGACCCTCCAGCAAGAAAAATCCTAGGTAGTTCTCTTTGTTTATGAGGGGGCTGGGCGGCTGTGTTTTGCATGAGGGCAGACCTGGGACAGGCTCACTCTAACATTGTTCAAAAATCTGTACTGTCAGCCATGACACCTCCTCCTGAGAAACATCTACAGTAAGCGGTAAGAAAAATCTTTATTGGGCATGCTGTGTGAATGGTTCCACATGACAAACATGTAGCCAGGTGCTTGAATAGAGACAGAGAGGGATTTAGCAAACTGTGCTGCGGTACAGTTATCATACCTTGCCTCCACCCACCAGGGGGAGCTGGCAAGCAGAAAGAGTTCAAGAGACTTGATGGTTGGCAGCATTAAATCATGGGAGATGAAGTTTGGGAAAGAAACTTTACTATGTCAGCCTATGAACCATTGGAATACAATTCCTAATGCGAGCTAAGTATAAGGGGAGAGAGAGTTGTATTTTCTCAGGCTGAATACTGAGGAATTCTTCCTTTGTTTGAAAGACTTAGGTGTGTGCACATTGCTCTTCCTGTGTGCGCATCAACCTGCCTGTGGTCATGTGCTTAGGACTGGAATCGTTCCAGGAAGATCCAGAAGTGAGCTGACATCTGACCAGTTGGACCACCTGTTGCTGTATCATTGGGACTGGTGAGAGGACAGGGCTACTGCTAGCAGTCACTGAGCACACAGGGACTGGCCATATAACTGGCAGCATTATTTACTACGTTCACTGGGAGTGTACTCATGTGCACCACCGTAAAAACTGGGCTCCAATGCTGGCCGGCACAAGAATTAGGGATAAAGACTGCTCATTCACATAGCTGCTTCACAAGAACTTTGCCTATTGTCCATAGTAAGAGGAACCTCTTTAGGGAAGTTTTAATTTCATCGCTGCTAATGCTATAGAGTGCTAGTTACTGCAACCTGTGACAATATATTGGGTTCATTTACCACTAACCAGTCTGATGTTTGCTTTTTGATATTGAACTTTAGATGTGTGCAGGATATCTATATTTGTGTGGTCCCAGTAGCAGTGCATTATCCATTTGCATAATCTGGTGTATCACAGGTTGTTCTTAGAGTTGAGGCAGAAGAACAGAGAACCCAATCTACCAATCTAATCTGCAAGGTAGCGCTACAAACGTAGTGTTTTTTTTTCCAAATTTAACTGCAAAATTGGATATATGCTTTAAGCCTGAAACAGCAGAGAAAGCTCTCTAAATGGAGCAGAGCTGGTTATGTGACCACATGCTTCATTCTGTTATGAGCTGACTGTGCTAAGCTCATCAATGAAAACATCTCTGTGCTTTATAAATGTGCGCGAAGTGTTTTATTTATTCAGAGCAGCAGTTTGGCCATGGTAAGGCTTAAAATGAGACCCTTGTGCTGATTTGGATGGTGATAATAAAGACAGATCTGTAATGCGACCAACTTTTATATCAGTACCTTTAGAAGAGAATCTGCAATAAAGTTTGATACAATATTTGCAGTGCATTTAAATTCACCTTAAGAGGACAATTTTTCTCTCCATCAATTCTTTTTGGCTTATCCAACAAAGCAATGTAACCAAAATGGATGATGAGCTAAATACTCCAACCAACAATGTAACCAACATGGATGATGAGCTAAATACTCCAACCAACAATGTATCCAACATGGATGATGAGCTAAATACTGCAACCAACAATGTAACCAACATGGATGATGAGCTAAATACTCCAACCAATAATGTAACCAACATGGATGATGAGCTAAATACTCCAACCAACAATGTAACCAACATGGGTGATGAGCTACATACTCCAACCAACAATGTAACCAACATGGATGATGAGCTAAATACTGCAACCAACAATGTAACCAACATGGATGATGAGCTAAATACTGCAACCAACAATGTAACTAACATGGATGGTGAGCTAAATCGTGCAACCATCAGTCTTTAGGTAATAGACAGATCGGTGAACAGTGAATTTTGATTGGTTGCTGTAGATTATTGTATTTAGCAAATTGGTCTTAGCCTCATTAAATAATACCCTGTGTTGGTTAATCCAGGTGCCTTGGAATATAATTATTTGGAACATAAACTTTAACATCCCAATCTGTTTAATCCCACTTCCAAGACAGAACGTTGCAATAATTTGCTTTCTGTTTAATTGAAAATGTCATATCAGCCGAATTAAAATCCACCATTTTATAATTTGTGTGTGTCAGCCTGGAAGCAAAAGAAGTCTGCGTAAATTTTTTTCCATCAGACCTTTTCATCAATCCTTTATGGCACTTATATTATTTGGTGTAAATAAAAACTAGGGGTTGTCATAAAAAAGCTAATAAAATTATATGACTATTAATGCCAGGATCATAAAAAATTCAGCAGCGTGCGTTTTATAACATGTGGGATGCTCAACAACTGTTTGTAAAAATAAATGCAGCTTACCGAAAAACAATATCCAGGAAAAAGACATGAAGCCTTGAAGGTTTATTTAACAAGAAGATACTAGAGAATGTAATAAAAGACCACAGATGAGTTCTTGCTGGAAAAAAAATATTTTAAACAACAGACAGCATGGATTCATGAAAGACATAAGTTGTCAAACAAATCTGATTTCTTTTTATGAGAAGGTGAGCAAAACCTTGGACAGAGGGGTGGCGGTGGACGTGGTATACTTGGACAGAGGGGTGGCGGTGGAAATGGTATACTTGGACAGAGGGGTGGTGGTGGACGTGGTATACTGGGACAGAGGGGTGGCGGTGGACGTGGTATACTTGGACAGAGGGGTGGCGGTGGACGTGGTATACTTGGACAGAGGGGTGGCGGTGGACGTGGTATACTTCGACAGAGGGGTGGTATACTTGGATTTTTCAAAAGCATTTGACACAGTTCCCCACACACGGCTAATGTGTACGGTAAAGTCTACAGGCTTGGAAAAAACCCCGTATGTAAATGGATAGAAAACTGGCTAAAAGATCATATTCAAAGAGTAGTTGTTAATGATTCATATTCTGAATGGGGTGTCAGTGGTGTACCCCAAGGTTCAGTGTTGGGACCCTTACTTTTTAATATATTTATAACAATATAGGGACTATAAATCCCATTTCAGTCTCTGCAGATGACACCAAGCTGTGCAGTGGAATAACACCCTTACAGGATGTCTCCAACTTACAAGCCGACCTCAATGCACCATTTAATTGGGCAACTATGTGACAAATTAGGTATAATGTTGATAAATGTAAGGTTGTGCACTTGGGGGCTAAGAATATACATGCATCATGCATACTAGGGGGGGTACAACTGGGGGAATCAATGGTGGAGAAGGATCTGGGGGTTCTGGTAGATCACAAGCTTAATAATGGCATGCAATGCCAAGCTGAGATTTCTTAAGCGAGCAAAATAATCTCTTGTATTAAAAGAAGACTCCAGAGAGATATCATATTACCCCGGTACAAATCATTAGTAACACCTCATCTGGAATATGCAGTTCAGTTTTGGGCACCAATTCACAAAAAGAACATTGGGGAACTGGAGAAAGTACAGACTAGTCCAATCACAACCCATCTGTGTCATGTGATTAGCTGTAGCCAATCACAGCTAATCAAAACAAAACAAACAATGAATCGATTTCATTCAATAAAATGCTTGTTTATATAGCAGTAAAGTTCATTGTTATAAGCAATCATAATGTGTAAAAAAAAAAAATACTGATCACTTACTATGGTAACATTATATTACTCTGGTCACAGTGTATTACAAAAAAATCTTAAAAAAAGAAAACAATTTAATAAAAAATAAAATAAAAATAGTAAAAAAAATGTTTTTGTACTGTTACCAGTCAGTGTCCCTAATCACTGGCGCACCAGTTATATGACAAAAAACTACACCTTAAAAAAACTCGCCATGCCTCTTACTAAATGCCTCAGACTGTCTACTTTCCAAAGAGAGGTAATTTGGGGGATATCTGTACTGTCCTGACATTTTTAAGCCTCAAGAAATTAGATCAGTTGTCAGTACATCATGATTGATTGATTTTCAGATATAAACCTTATTTTGTGGACTCTATAACTTTCCTACAGACTAAATAATATACACTCATTTGGGTAGTTTTCACCAAATAAATGTAGCAGAATACATTTTGTCCTAAATTTATGAAGAACAATTATTTATTTGCAAAATTTTACAACAGAAAGGACGGAAAAACTTTTTTTCAAAACTTTTTTTTTTTTAAAAACTTTAATTTTTTTCATATTTTTAGTAAAAAAATAAAAACCCAGTAGTGATCAAATACCACCAAAAGAAAGCTTTATTTGTGTGAAATTATAAAAAAATTACTTTAGGTACAGTGTTGGATGACCATGCAATAGTTATATGAAGTGTGACAGCACTGAAAGCTGAACATTGGCCTGGGCAGGAAGGGGGTAAAAGTGCTTAAAATAGGTGCAGCTTGGACCTCCAAAACACATTGGTTACTTTTTGGATTGTACCCTTGACTTTTAACGGAATAAAGTTGTATCTGGACCTCTTAGCAGTGGTGTGGTGCTTTAATTTAAATTTTTGTTTCATTACAATACACGCCAGAAAAGACTGGAAATCCTCTGGAGTGCAGAAGCTGCCTGCCTGGGAACCAGATCACTTACATCAACACTTTACAATAACAATAAATCCAAATCACGGGAGGTATAGAAAGTTTCACACCCTGTTATTAGTTACAGTCAAAAACACTCTTAAGCACTTGGGCTTTTAAGGCATTAGGTATCAAACAAATGACAACCACTTATCAACGTACATAATTTTATTTTTCCAGACTATACAAATTTTTTACAGAAAACACCTATTAAAACAGGGGGGAAGTTGCATTAGGGCGTGCACCCCAAAGCTAAAACACAATACATGTGTGTGTATATACTGTATATACTGTATGTATGTGTGTGTGTATGTATATTGTGACAGTGTGGCAATCTGTCACCCTGGATTCTCAACAAGGCAGGTTGAGGGGCTCCAGGGTAAAAGGTTTGATATGGAGGAAAGTGGCTTTTCACTTTCCTCCTTGTTTGTAAGGTCCATTTTGGGAGCTGGAGCCTGGAGATTTCGAAGCGATTTGGGAGGGATGAAATCTCCAATCCTGGGACCAGGTGTTGGAATAGGCCAGGAGACTGATAGGACAGGTGTGTGCAGGCCTTTAGATGGAGTCAGGACCAGAGTTCTGGGCTCCACCCCGGTAGATAGGAGTCAGGAGGGCTCCACTTGGAAGACAGGAGGTCACTGCCTGGAAGTCAGGTGGGCTTTGCCTAGGAGAGGTGGAAGCCAAAAGCAGCAAGGGGCTGCTAGAGACTAGCTGTGTGCTAGTGGCCAGCTGTGTGCAAGAGCCATAATTCTTGAAGAAGTCTGCAGGAGACAGACTTCAAGCTGAGTATAAGCCAGGAGGCTGAATCGTTTTGTTTGATGGTGGATACCCCTGTGTGGGAAGCTTTATGTTATGGGACATTTGTTTAAATAAAATTGGGCAAAAAGACCCTTAAAGAAGCGAGTCGCTGTGTGCTTTAAATGAAAAGCTCTACCACTTTGAAGTGAGTTCCCACAATATATATATATATATATATATATATATATATATATATATATATATATAATTTTAGAGAGAGAGTCCCGCAGAGGCTGCTTCATAATATTGGTCCCCAGTAGTTGCCCTGACTTTGCAAGCTTCCTGGCACATCTGACATTCTGGCTTCAGACGTATTTCAACTTTATAGACTAATGTTGCAAGAGACATGATTCTTTAGTAACATATATTAGACTCTATATTAGACTTGTTTAAAAAAGTAGGCTACAGGAATAATGGGTTTAGGATATACAAGTCCAGTTAACATATAAAAGCAGAACACTGGTTAAATAGGAATAATCAGTTACATATAGTTACATAGTTAGCCTGGCTGAAAAAAGACAAAAGTCCACCCAGTTAGTGACATTTAACAGGTCATACAGTCAGGAGTAGTAAGCTTCAACTATTTAATTGCAACACCAGCAGCAAAAAGTGGGGAAAAAAGGCTTGTTGACTTATCAGCTCCCTCTCTGCCACCAGCAACGCAATGGGGTATGCAGAGAACTATGTAAATGTACACTCTGGCATAAATATATATATATAAGTAACTTAGATCGAATAACAATGGCCTTCGAAGAAGAAATGTCCCTTTAGCTAGAGATTGCATCTTAAGTCCTGCAGTGTTTAAAGTTCCTGATATGATGGTATCCGCTGTCTTCTGCTAGCAATGGTGGGGCCCATAAGCATTAGTGAATACTGGTAAATCAATGAAGTTAAACAGATAAGCCATGGCAGCACTCAAAGCAAAGGTCAGTTAGTAACTGAGTTGTAAAGGTGTCTGCATGCAGTATTTCTAGAGTGATGACAGAAAGAGGTTGGGCATCTGCCCACTCACCAATCCCATGGATAGCACGGCCTCCTAGGAACAAGAATTCTTACACAGGCTCTTGGCTGTTTACAGAGATGTGCAGAGTTACCGCCTGATGGCCTGTCAGTATGGTGAGCAGAGATGTCTGTGTGAAGACTGGACAATGACAGTCCCGATGCAGAGAAGCTGATGTGATTCCAGTGTGGCAATCTGTGTCACCGCTTTGTTGAACTGATGTGCAGAGTCCCGCAGCAGTAGGCCAGCAATATGTCTGTGGAGGAGAATGATACCCCCCCTGTGTTCAGGTCTGAATCCCTTGCTGTAGAATATATCTGCTTTCCCAGCATCCTTCTTGTTCACCAGCTCTCTGGTATTTGTAGTTCAAACAGCACTCAGGAATACAGGATGTATTGGCAATAGGACTACAGGTCCCAAGACCCTCTACTGTCAGAAGAACTGGATCCACTCTGCTAACAGGACGTGATGTAACAGTCCCAGTATTGACCACCAGGGGGAAAAGGATTAATTATAGCCTCATCTGTAAATGTCTTTCCTTGGCAAGAAAAAAAACACATATTTTGAGGATAGAGCAGTGGACTCAGTAGGGCAGTGGACTGTGTCAGAGGGCAGAGCTTGGTGTCAGCAGGGGCAGTGGACCATGTCAGTAGTTTGTTATTCTTACCATTTTATTTTTATTTTTTTACAATTTTATTTTGTGTATTATTTTTTACAATATTATCTATTTTTCTTTACAATTTTTTTTTTTACAATTTTCTTAGGAGCCCCATTGGGGGGCTTTGGTGACATAACATAGGTCTCACTTTTGAGACAGAGAAAGGGACTGAGGACAGAAATGCTTCAGTGTTCATTCCTCCCCAGTGTCTGGTCATCCTTTCCACTCCCTTATCACCCCACAGCTGTACCACATTACCTGGAGAAGCTCCTCTTCTCCAGACACACCGCCCACCTCACAATGCCCGCCTGGTGGAAAAATCCAGCCTGAAGATCTCTGAGTATTCCTGACAGGAAAGAAGTTCAGAGTCCAGAAGATAAAACCTGAATCCTCCACCCAAATTACCAACACTCAACTACTGGACTCCAAGACCATTGGAAGACAGGAGGACACAGGAGCACAGGATGGGGCAGAGATGGACTTTTCTAGACCCTCCTCACTGGAGAGTTCTGGAAAGTGGTAAGGGTATATTTGAGTATCTGTTGGAGCACAGTGCAGCCTTTACCTGTACACAGAGCTGGAGGATGTCTGTGTGATCACTGTATATAGAGTGACACTGATCTAAATACTAGAGAGCAGGGGCAGACTGACAACTCATGGGGCCTCCAGGCAATAGGGGATCATGGGGCCCCTGTGTCCTTGCCCACACCCAAAAAAGCCTATGAAAAAGCCAATGAAAGGTACCAGGGGCATCTCATGGGGCCCCCTACTGACCCCGGGCCCTCGGGCAGTGCCCGAATGCTCAAATGGTCAGTCCGCCCCTGCTAGAGAGCATAAGTGTGATGTACCTGTGCACACCGTAATGATTAGGGTGTGCCTAGGCACAATCAGCACACCCTGTGCGCATGCCTATGCTGTTAATCACTAATATAGGTGTATCCAAAACAAATACCGAGTCCTCTACAAGCTTGTTGCAATTGTAGGTCAAGACAACCAACTGCTCTGTCCCAAAATGGGCCATTTATAATGCTGTAAACAATTGAATTCTTTGCAAAAGGGGAGGAGAAGAGGATCATCAATGGGCTCTGCACGTTTTGTGGCCAAAGACATTTCATCAAAAGCAATACATATCAGAATCTGTATTTCAATCTATAAAAACAAAAACAATAAATATATCTAATAACAGAGTATAACATTATAAATACAAATATACATCACTTTTTTTCTTTACCATATCATATTTTTTTACCCAAGATGCATGTGGTTATCAAGGCATAACCATCAGCCCTAGAGGGGGAGAGCCACCACCGGAACCATGTACAACCCCCAATGCGAGGCCACCGGAGTATCCTGGGACAGACCCTAGGACAGCCTCTAAGGAAGAGGGCTGCTCCCCTGAAACGTGTCAGCATGTATATCTGAGCTTAAGTGACATCTACACCTCCGCACACACCTACATTTTGGATTGTCAGCACTTGGGATTCAACATTGTTATGGCTGTTTGTAAGCACGTTTTTGCACTTTTGTTTTTTTACTAAACTTTGTTAAGGTACTGCACAAGCTGTTTGCGCCCCCCCCCCCTTTTTTTTGGTCATTTTGCGTTTCTTAGGACAGACACAGCTTAGATAAAAGCTGGTCTACTTTGTGTAATTCTCCTTATTCCGCCAATGCATTACACAACTTGTAGCACATCGAGTCTGTTCTGCACAGCACAAATAGCTCTAAATGATAATTATTTTTCACCTCCCACGTAATCAGAAGAATACAGCACTTATTTGTGTTTCGGATGGCTGTAATTATTTAAATAGAGCAATTACAGCAGGGTATGCAGAGGAGAAAGATAAGGGGAATAATTATATTATAGAGGTAAAAGAGACGGTTGTTAAGGCAAGTGTGACTTTCACAGGAAAGCTTTCAGCCGCAAAGGAATTAGGAATATGTCGTACGTGTTAATGTAACCGGGGCAAGTCTTTTAGAACAAGATGGAATACCTGCTGCAAGAGGAAAAGTCAGATAATCATCATTTCTCAAAGACTAAAGAGTATAATTTGCATAAATATTGTTTATAAAGAGCAATTAGCAGTAAATTGACATGCAAAACAAGTAGTAATTGAACTCTGTCAATGACAGTTTTCGAGCTCATCGGCATATTGTCATACAACGCATCTGGGCATCTGCATGAAAATTCTGTTTTTGTAGACTTCCATTACCACATTAATATTTGGGTCATAAGGGACTGTAATCAAATGATTTTACTTCGCCTGCGTATTCAGGTGATTAGGCAACAGGAAAAGCTTCATTATCATGGCACAGAATTTAGATAAGGATCCCCTGAATGAAAGGATTTAGTAACAATGCCAATTTTGTTGTCGGTAAAATGTTGCTAAATCACTCATTGAGCTTCTTAAGCCTCCCGATCTGAATGGTGCTACCTAGTTAAGTCATGGGCTGGGAAGGCAGAGAACCCGTGGTGTCAGTGCCCCCTGGGAGTTGGTCACTGTAGTGGTGCTCTAAGTATCACTTGGGCCTGGGAAACCCAGTGCTAGAATGAGCACATGGCCACGGCACCTCTCGTTTTTTCTGCACTGCACCTAATGGGCTAGGCCTTTTGGCTGAGACTGGAGCAATTTTTGTTACCAAGCCACCAGGACTAACCAATAGCTGCAGTTATTTTTTTTAATTTATTTTTTATCTCCACATGTGGTGTGCCACTTACACTTTATGTCTGGATTCCCTTTTCACTGGGATGGAGGGTATGGTTCCTCGGGCCTATCCTGAAATTTAGGGGGAGGATGCCTGACCATTATATCCCTTCCTCCCCTGAACCAGGGGGGAGGTCTCACTTTGGGAGAACCCCTCATCTAGTACTCAGTGGTTGACTTCGGATGACCATGAGGAGAGGGGTCAGTCAGGCCTTTTGGCTAGGTGGACCATGAGTGTGCCTTGCCACTGTCAGGAGCCTTGTACCCCTGAGGGGTCAGGGATGGGTCCTACTTCTTCAAGAGGTGGCCTAGAGACATCCTCCTGAACAGCAGTTTTTTTGTGTGTGTGGTTTTTTTTACATGCACTTATTTTCTTCACTCACAGGTGTTTTGTTTTGCGCACCACCCCAACACTGTCTCGCGGTATCTGGTGAGAAAATACCCTTACTCAGTGCAGGTTATCTGTAAACTTGAACTCTAGGCAGATATTGAAGACCCAAATAATTCAGCTATGTAATCATTAATACATCATTAATGTACAGTATTTTAACTGAAATGATGCTGGCCATCTGATTGAGAACATGTATTAGCAGAGAAACAGGAAATCCCTGGATTTAAGCTAAATATTGCAGCAAATACTAGTTTTGTTATTTTATCTTTTAATGGACTAATTATTTTTTTTTAATGGAGTTCTGCTTTAACGGCACAGAAGCAGTGACACCTTTTTTTGGCCACTATAGTTATTCCTGAGGCATCAGTGCTTGTATAGTTATATTCTTTTCCAAATATACAAATACACCACATGCTGCATTACGGCAACTCTGTACTATGTGGTTCTACTCTCACCAAAACTGATCAAAAGTCAGTTGAAAGCAGACATATGGGGAGGTTAATCCTTTCCTTTGTATGATAGATCCAGACTTGTACACAGAAACTTGTACTTTACACACAAGAATATAAGATGGCAAGCCATTGACTTCATTTATAGCCATTGCCATTTTCACATTTAATGTGTTTGGTGCACAGAGGAGAAAGACCTTATCTGTCTCTTACAAATCTGTATATAGCGCACCCCTAGGGAGCCTCTGGTGATTTTAGTCCTATTCCCCAACTTACAGCACTCACAGCCTAGCACACAGCATTTTTTCTCCATTTTTCCACTGGCTTAAAGGAACAGTCTAGGGGGGGGGCTTTTGGTTTTATTGGAACATAGAACTTGGATAATGATGAGGGAAGTATAGGATACCCCAACAATGAAAAAAACTAGACAACCCGAGGGCTATTTGGTGGTATTCCCGAGTGTAGCTCGGGGCAGGGGCGGACTGACAACTCATGGGGCCCCCGGGCAATAGAGGATCATGGGGCCCCTGTGTCCTTGCCCAAGCTCAAAAAAGCCTATGAAAAAGGTACCAGGGACATCTAATGGGGCCCCCTACTGACCCAGGGCCCTCGGGCAGTGCCCGAGTTTCCAAATGGTCAGTCCGCCCCTGGCTCGGGGTTAACTTTCAGTACCAGAAGCGGTAACCCCGAGCTACACTTGGGAATACACTGCAGCATTGCTCTGGGATCCCTTCTGCACTTACCTTGTCCTGTGGTGTCCCCCCTGCAGCATCCCAGCCATGTCCTCCAGCCGATGCCAGCATCTGTCTTCCAGGTTCCGTTCCCTGCGAGCGTCAGGACTTACGGGGTACGGAACTGGTGGGCATTTCAAAAATTTAACATTCACTCAATACACTAAAATCTGATAGTATTACATTACTCTATGAAACCATTTCACATACATTTTGTCCCGAGTGCTTTGTCCTGTGCCCTGCCTGCATTTTTACCATTCTTTCTGCCGGGAAACTTAGAAAAGTCCATGGCGTCCAAAAAGCGCCCCTATAGGTCAAACGCGGTTTTAGACCAGCTAGAGAACAGCGATAGGTTGGTGCAGGCAGAGTTCAAGCAGAGTCAGGATCAGGCAGGAAGCAGACAGGCTGCAGGTACAGGGGCTCATGGGAACAATACACCAAGGCCCTGACTGCAGGCCTGGCCATTCCTTAAATACACCTCCTGCAATCAGCCTCAGGAGATGGCTTGATTGCAGGAGTAAGCTTCTGGCTGCTGAGAGCACCCGCTGGCCAGCCCTGGTACTGCAGCCCACAAGGCAGGTGAGTCCCAACACCATTGGCGAGTCCATTCCTGACAGTTTGATTACATTATTGAATTAAATTTATTATTATATTATTATTTTTTATGATTATTTTATAATTCATGATTTTTGTGTTTCAAATTTTATCATACTAGACTCTTTTTGTTTTGTTTTTTTTGTTTACTAGACTCTTGTTCGGACAGATTTCAGTGAGTTATTCCTAAGAATTACAGGCCTACAATAAAAAAACAACATATTTCCATAAAAACAATGTACCACTTTGAGCACAGAAATACTGACATAATCAGACCGCTAGGGAGGTTAACTATCTTGCTGAACTGTAAAAGGGGATGTCCCACAGAATGTCTATGCTGATGGTGACTAGTACTCCTTTCAGAAACAAAAGCCACACACAGTCACTGACTTTTCAGTACTGGGGTCATTTACTCACACAACCACAGGTTCATTGGTTGCCTCCTGCTGATATCCACCAGGCTCTTCTCAGTGAGGGCGATGTAGACTCACACCACCATAGGACAGCTGGACTCTTTACCACCAACTTCCACCTGGCTCTCTCCAGTGAGCCCTTCCAGACATAACTTGTTTCCTGGACTTCAAACTTGCAAGTGGCCCCCTCTAGCTAAGCATAGCTGGGATCTCAATGTCTTCCTGATGACTCCTTTCTAGTGTTCTGCCCCAGGGGCAGAGCTCCCTACACAGGGGGTCTCCTCCAGCAGGACTGGACCCAGGCACTCTCCTCCTGATGCTTAGGACCTCAGACTATTTAAGGGCTCTCCATCCACCTACTGGGCACACCTCCCCAGGGATTGGCTGGAGTACCATAAATATTTAGGCTGCCCACTCTGTTCTCCCTCCCTTTAGAAGACAGGGCGAAGTAATGAGAGCAGCAGCCTGTGAGACACCAAGTAGCCCTAAATAATCAAACTGAGCTCCTCTGATTACAGAGGAGCCAACTAAATTTACCTAGCA